CCAAGGGGGATGGCCACGCCGCAATCCCTTCTCCATTCTCCTCTCGGGATCTTGGGCACACATGCACACGCGCCCGGCGTGAGTTTAAGCCACTGGGTCCAGGACGCGAACCGTGGTTGACTACGTGGGAGTCCAGTGACATAGGCATTACGCCAACTGCTGGTCCCCTGAGGAGGCTGTTCTTTGGGCCTCCTGGGGCGATGCTTGCGGTGAGGTGGGCCCGGAGCTGCTGGAGTCGGGGCGGGGCCCCTTGTGTGACAGACTTGGACCACACTGTCATTGGATGAGCTTGCAGGAGGTGGCATCCCCGTGAAGGTGGACTCTTCTCTGCAGAGTTTAGTAAGCATGCCCGGGGCTTGGGACAGGGTCCTTTGGAGTGCAGACACGCTGGGCTGGGCTGTCCAGGCCAGCCTTGTGCAAAGGCATGCAGCGGGTGGTCTGAGTCTGCTAGTGACCCTGTTGGAAAAGCAGCTGTTTGTGCTGGTTTTGGGGCGGGGGGGCTGGCACGATGTCCCAGCTTGCTCCTGTCATGCCCCCGGTGGTGTGCCCCAGTGAGTGTCCCCATCACACCCACACACATGTTCCTCCCTTTCTGTTCTGGTTGTCTGGGCACTGAGTGCAGTGCCCCATGCCTGCTGAGAGTGTCCGAGGTGCTCCAAGCCGGGTGGCTTTCAGGCTAGGCCCACAGAGGCTCCCATGAAGGTATCGCACAGGGCCAGCAGGCGGTATGGTGGTTAAGGCTCTAGTCTCCCACGGCTGACTGCTCTCCAAGTCCCGACCTGGTAGCTTGCTTTCTCATTTTCTCCTCTCTCTTGCGTTCTCTGTTAGCACATGTACCCTATAGCAAATTAAAATAAATTAATTAGTGGGACCAGCAGTTAGCATAATGGCTATGTCGCTGAACTCCCACGTAGTCGACCGCGGTGGTTCGTGTCCTGGACCCAATGGCTTAAGACTCACGCTGGGCACGTGTGTGAGTGTGCCCAAGATCCCGAGAGGAGAACGGAGGAGAAGGGATTGTGGCGTGGTCATCCCCCCTGGGGGGTGATTTCTCGCTTTCTGTCTCTCTGTCTCTGTGTGGTAAGTGCATGCACCCTATAGCAAAAACCTCTTAAAAAATAAATAAATAAGTTAATTAGTTAATTGAAAAATTGATTTAAAAAATGCACAAACTTTGTACACACACGGCTTCCCTGAGAGGTGACCTGTAGCTCTCAGCTCCTCAGAGGGTTTGTGAGCCAGCTCCAGAGGGAACCGTTTCTCTGGCAGAAAGCAGAGTGGATGCAGTCTGCTCGCCATGCGCTCTTGGTGCAGGGGAGGCAGAGGTGGGCGTGTGAGCCTCGCACCACGCCAGCGTGGGTGTGGCCTCTGGGGTCTGACTGGCGTCCAGGCAGTGAGGAGGAGTGGTTCTGGGGCATGCGGCCCTAAGGGCTGGTCACCAGCAGCCTGAAATCTTGAGCTGTGTTCGTAGCAGCATGCAGGGTGCCCCTTGCCAGCGCACGGCGTGTGGCAGTGGCTGGGAGCGCTGCACGGTCGTCTCCGCGCCCAGCCTCTCTGCAGACGCAGGCCTGGGGAGGACGGCGTGAGCAGGCAGGAACAGCAAAGCTGGACTCAGGTGGAACTTCACTGGAAGGACTGTTGCAGCCGGGAGAAGGCGTGGGCTGTGGCTTCTGCAGGTGTCCTGCAGGCCAGAGCACCAGGACAAATGATCCTGGCTAAAGGACAGCCGGTGTGGGGGTGTGGGAGGGGCAGGGGCTGACAGCCGTGAGGGCAGTGGAGACTGAGGCGGCGGGCGGGGCCCGGGGCGGGGCCCGG